TAGCGAACCGTTTGTTTAACTGCATTTGCTTGGGTGAAATGCGATTTTTAGAGTTCTTGTAAACAACAAGAAACATAGATGCAACGCAAAAGATAAAAATCACACACAAGATTACTTCGAAAAACAGATGGAAATAAGCGCTGAGACGATGGAATGAATTTAATGTCATCGATAATAGAATAACAGCCAAAAGAAAAGGAATTGCCCACGATGTAAGAACCATCTGAATGACTCGGCGGCTCGTCATAAAAGTCAAGTATTTCAACGGTTTCGCCACGGCGATGTAGCGTTCAAGTGCTAAACTATATAGGTTTGACCCAGATGCGTACACTAAAAATACTCTGACATAAATCCCAATGAAGATTGCTGTTTTACTGGTGATGCACTTATTTACCATGTCGCAGAGAAAGCGGGAAGGAACAGCTATCATCCCAACACAAAAGTCGGCCACTGCTAAAGACACAATTAATGTGTTGGTCTTGGTACGAAGCTGACGTTTATAGCAGACGAGGAGGATGATAAAACCATTTCCAGCCATCGTGAGGATTGAGAGGAACCAAGCGAGAACCCAAAACCACGTTTCCATTAAGTTTCGTCTTGACGGCTGTCTTGAACTTTTCAATTGTTTCCTTCAGTTGGGTGAAGAGAGTTTTGAGAATGTAAATTTGTGAAGTTTTATTTAATACCATTCGGCTTCATTTATAAGTTTGCCTATAAAGCCAATTAAGACAACAGACTTTGTTTAATCAAGTTGCATTCAAGGCTGCAAGCATCCATCACTCTTTAACATTTTTGTCATACATTGTGCCCGTTTAATGGTTCGCGAGAAGTATGGACCAATCAGAGATTGACGACAAAACAGGAATGTTTTACTTCATCATCTCATGTGTACTATCCTTGACATCTAGACCAACAAAACAAAATTTGAGGAAAGAAAGAAAGAATCGGCACTCTACGTTACAGCAGAGTCCTATTTCGAGGATATTAGTATTGCACAATGATGCAAATAAGATGTGAATTGATGAAAAATGGCTTCGTATTTCCCTGTCGAAAACAAATGATTCGAATAACGATAATTTCATGGAGATGTTTTCCGTCTCGTCACGAGCGTGGGACAAAAAAGAAATTCTGAGTCCCCATGATGAAGCGAACTTCAGACCCTCGGATTTCGCGCTCCGATTTCCCCCCCTAGCACGGAGCCAAAAAGACCCTTCGGTGAGCGAGATAATTATTAAATTTGACATCTTTTTAATTATCAATTTTTCCAATGATTACATTTTAAATCGACCAACTTAACCCTAGGATGTCTACTCCAAGAGCCAACCGAGAAATCGAAACCTGGCAACCTTGCAGTGACTGAGGTTTTCAAATATATTTCATATTTTTTTCACTACCATCTTTCCCTTAAAAAAAAACCATTGTTGCCATTTTCATTGAAAAGTTGTTTGCTAAACGGACTGGCGGAAATTAAAACCTGTCACGAAGACACACCAAGAAAACATAAAAAATAACTGTGAGAGGTTGCTTTTTCAGTTCAGTGATAGAGGAAGTAGGGCAGTCAAATAGGAGCAAATACAGGTGGTCATGCATATTGAA